TCTCTCTCTCTCTCTCTCTCTCTCTCTCTCTCTCTCTCTCTCTGGCGGAGCCGGGGATTGAACTGAGAGCCTTGCGTTTGCCAGGGAAGTGCTTATTCCACTGAGCCATCTCCCCGGCCCTAGAAGACTTCTCTTTCCATGGTGTAGGAAAAATAGATTTGGCTAAAGGAGAGGTGGATGTATTTTCTTGATCTTTTTCATTCTCTCTGTCAGCTAGCTTGCTCACTTGTCCGCCCGCCCATCCATCCATCCATCCATCCATCCATCCATCCATCCTTCCTTCCTTCCTTCCTTCCTTCCTTCCTTCCTTCCTTCCTGGGCTTTTTGAGACAGGGTCTTCACTATGTAGTGCAGGCTAGCCCTGAACCCACTATGCCCAGACTGCCATCAAACACACAACGATCCTTCTGCCTCAGCCGCGAGTGCTGGGGTTACAGACGTGCGCCACCAAGCCAGCTGTCAGTGTTATTTCCAACATCCCTTCTGAGAGTGTATGTGAAGATGGTTAAAGTTAGGTTCTGGCTAGGCCCAGATACAAATCACTAAGTGCTTTTAGTTTTATAGTAGTTGGTGCATAAAAGTCATCTCCCTTTTTGTTTCTCGATAATTTTGAAGTTAATTTTCTGTGTTAAATATAAAGGGACATTAATTTGATATCTTAGAATAGTGTTTTCTCCTACTCTGTTCACTGGTATGACTTTTATGTCTGTGTAAGAAAAGAAAACTCTGGAGAGAGAAAAGCCAAATAGACAAAGCCGCATGCTTAGTGCCAACCTTTTCAGACTCTGAACAGCACGTGAAGAAAGTGGTGTGACAGGCAGTTACCGCTAGCTCGTCTCTTAGCCATCACTGCTGCTGACATTGTGTTCTATTTCTTCCTCAGTGAGAAGAAAAAAGAAAAAGAGCGTGAAGAATTGTGGAAAAAATTGGAGGATTTGGAGTTAAAGAGAGGCCTTAGACGTGATGGGATAATTCCAACCTAACAGAAATATGATGGCGCCATTACTAACCTGTGGAGTCACATTTATGTAGTAGAAGATGGAGCAACAGTTTTCTGTATTGTGCAACTTTACAGTAGATTTCACATTTGTTTCATTATTACAACAGCACTGTATATACCCTGTCTCTAAGTAAAAGAAAAAAAAATAAGGACTTCAATCCAAAGTTTGGACAGTAGATGGACTTCTCAGAACTTTGCAAACATAATCATTGTTCTAACCCTCTTAAAAAACAACCAGAAAAGCAGTCTTCAAAGATCTGTTGATGAAATTGCTATGTTAAAATTCCATTATCAGGAGTTCTTATTTATCACTAGCAGAGAGTATGATACAATTTTCAAATGTGAACAGTCTTAAATTTAGCTTGTCTTTCTGCTAAGCTGTTAAATGTATTTATAGGAAAGGAAGGAAAAAACAAAAAGACTGTCATTTCCTTATGAGTTTGTGTAACTTCTTCCTCTGGATAACTTGACTGTAATTTGACATCTTTTCCTTTTGCACATCTTCCTGGGTTGAATGTCCATGTTGAAAGGGCCATGGATTCTAACGGCCCCTGATGCAAGTTTTGTCTACTGGAGTGAATACCTTTCCAGTAACCAGGCAGCCCTGGTTCTCCTGTAGTTCTGAGGTTAGGAGTTAAAAGAGAAGAGGTGATAAACATAGTAGGAAAGGGAATTTTGGCTTCACTCATCAGTTTATGGTGAATCCAGATCACTGTCTTGAATCCTTTGCAAACAGGCACTGGGACGTCACCAGCTTCAGTACCTGACCAGTATTAGTTGCATCCATCATTGAAAATATACACGGAAGATATGTTAGGAATGTCAGGACAACCTCCTTTGGACCATAAGACATCAGAAAGACAAACACTAAATAGTACAACCATGAAATTGATCCAGGATTGGGAATCTAATTGGGAAAAGAGCTTGAGCAAGCAGCTTGGCCTGTTTGGATTTGTTGCCTTACTTTTTAATACGTATTTATAAAGTATTTCAGCAAAAGAGGGCGAAGCCTCTGGGAAACACAAACATGATGCAGTGTTTTTTGTAGATTCTCATTCTGTATCTCATCACAGCACCAGCCCTGTTTTAAGCCAGAAAGGATTCAGGATACACACGATGCATTCTGAATGGGATGCGTATTCCTAACTACTGTATTTGTTACCAAAAGTGGTTCTACAAATGCTACTGAAAAACATCTGGAAATTCCTAATGTCCTGAGTATTAATAATAAAGTTTAAAAATGCTTTTGTATCAAAGGTGCATTGTGACCAAATTGTTTAAGAGAAAGTTAAAATCTAGGGCTATATTATAGGTAGATTTTATTGGCTCTCTGCTTTGTAGTAAAAGAGGAAATCTTACATCTTGGGTAGGTAAATTGCGGCTAGAACATGTGTACACTACGTGCTCACCTGCTGTGGTTGCGCTGTATGTACCGAAAGATTTGTACTTTGGGGTTGAGTTCCAGGACGCTTTTGCTTGTTACAGGATAGCAGCCATGAGCTGATCATTCTCAGCTGTCACCTCCAGCAGTATTCATGGTCTAGAGCCGATTCTCTGTCCCTCTGTTGAGCTGTGATAGTAGCAAACGCGAACCTAGGAGCTCTTGTTACTCTTAACTAGAAATACAGTATAAATATGGGCTTGTATATTTTTCTTCCTTCCATTTAAATATAAAGTAGAGTTTGCAGTCTTATTGTTTCCAAGAAGGAAGAAAAAAAAGCTGCTGACCTTTCTCCCCTAAGACGTGTTTCCAGATTACCAATCAGGTCACAGTGTGTACATAAAAGTCAGCCAATTATGGATATTGTTCTCTAGATAATTTTGTAAGAAATGAAAACAAAAACAAAACCTAGCTTTGTTAATTCCTAAGAAATAGCAGTAAAATCATATGCAACACCAGACACAACGTGGTTTAATGGAATTAGGCTTTTTTTAAAAAAGAATTCATTGTTACATGTGCAAAGGCTGCCGAAAAGAAGCATCTTGCTTTTCAAAGTGCAAGAGCAAAAGTGTGGATTCAAATACTGATCTTGTTAAAAAACTAAATTTGTAACAGGTACCCTTCGGCCCACTTGATGTTAGCCCTTCATTTTGGCTACATTTATTTTTGATGGTGCAAACTATTATTTGCCATGAGAAAGAAGACGTGGAAATCACAGGCTTACGGAGAGCCTCTGCCCACTCAAATGAAATGCGGTCATTTGGGATGAGAAAGGCCGGAGCCCCTTCCGTGCGCCTTCCCTTTCCTCAGCGCAGGTAGAGACGCTGCAGGTATCCTGATGTCAGCTTTGTGTGTTTGCTGTTCCAAACGGAGGAGAATAAAGCTAAATTTTAGGCATTTAAAGAAGCAATTAGAGCTCTCTGTCTAAAATTCCTAGGGCAACTTCTGAGAAGAAACACTGTCTTTTCTTTTTTAACTCAAAGTGACAATGTGACATTTGTCATGTTGTGTGCGGTGATGCGAAGTAGCTGAGGCAATCTGACTGTTGCACTATGTGACATATTTAAGGATGTAATGGCTGCATTTGCAGCAGCCCTCTCTCTGTCCCTTCCTGCAATTCTGTCGCCCGCGACCTGAGTTCATTGTGACAAATGCATCTTCGTGTTATATTTTGTTTGTCTCATAGTTTCCAGAACTATATATAAATATATTTTTAAAATAGCAAATATTGTAGTTAGTGAAGACTGCTCCAACCTTATCCCTACCATATTGGTTTCAGGGATGGGACTAAGAGTGTCATTGACACACAGCAGAAATTCAGCCCTCTGGTTAGAATGGTGCTGAGGCCTGCGGCTCAGCAGCGCGTGGGCAAGCGAGCGAGCGACGTGACCCCGTCCCCTTGGCGTCGCGCATGCATTCCGTTTTCTCATCCTGCAAGTGTCCCCAGTTGTTCGCCTTCACTGTTTACTTTTGGTCCTTTTCGATTTTTTTGTTCTCCCTCACATCTGAATTTTTATAAAATAAAATTTTAAAAAAGGTAAGAAAGAAATGAGACCCTCAGCCCCACCGGATACTCACAAGCAGGGTCGTGCTCCTTCTTCTTGGGCGCATTTGCCTCCGTGGAAGGGTTTAAGTTCCTCTATCCTTCCTTCCACGCGGGGGGCGGTCCAGGTGAGGGCTGGGAACTGCCCATAAGTGTACCTGCTGTACTGAAATGTATAGCCCTAGGCTCAGTCACTATGGAAAGAAGAAAAAGTATATTTAGAGCTTTAAAAGCTTTTTTATTTTTTTGTGGGGATGGGGGTGGGGTGGGTAAGGGACGTGTGGACGATAGGATGCTACTGGGATTTTTAAGTGCTCCGGGGTTTGTTTTTCTTCTTCCCACTTTCTGTTTCTGTTCTTCCCATTCATTGGATGCACTGACCTAGTCCAGGAAGTGAAGAGATTCTCTCTTTTAATGCTCTTACCAATGTTACCCCCGAGTGACAGTCACCTGTAACCAAAACAAGGTGGCACCAGACATGATCGGTGATGTTTTATTTGCACATGAATATTTTTATTTTTGTATTCTGGCTTGGCTGCTTCTCTTGCGTGGATTAAAGAATGAGCCACAAAGGATGTTTTGTAATAGGCCTATTGGCAATGCATTTTTATATTTCTCTATATTTAATTTTGAAATTTGAAAAGAAGGGTTGCACATTTCAAGAGAAAGTTGAACAAACTTTGACGTAGTGGAATGTTAGCCTGTGCTGCCGCCCACGCACGACAGCAGCAGCAGTAGCTCTTGGAAATGAACATTGTCTATGAATATAGATTCCCTTTTCTTCCCTTCCCGTGTCCCTCCCTCCCATCTCCTTCCTCTTCTCTTTCTTTTCTCCCTCTTTATCTTCTACTTCCTTCAGCCCCTCCCTCCCTCTTTACTTTTTTTTTTTTAAATCACTTACTGTAAATAAGTTGTAATCCAAACCTCATGTATCAGTGGGGAGATTTCAAATATAAATACTACCAATACATCTTCTGGTTGTTGTCTGATTTTTGACTGAAGTATAATGAGAATGACTTATCCACTGCTTTAGGTTTGAGGACTTTGCTACAGCTTCATAAATCTTTTGGTATTTTAGTATTTCATTGTTTTAGCAGGAGAGGGCAGCAAAAGTTCATTTTCCATGTTAGTAATGCTGTGGTTCTTGACTGATTTTAAACTTAGCCGTGAGTGTGTGTGCCTGTTATTTTTCTTTTTTTAAACAGCATCTGTTTGTGGGTAGAGGTAAAAATGAAACATTTTTGATATGAAAAGTTGCATATGAAAATTATAGACTGGTTCAGCCAGACAGTGAAGACCTTCTGTTCTACGTCAAAGTGAGAATGCTACAAAAGAATCTTCCAGCTCTGGCTAAAATGTGCTACTTCTTTTTCAACACAACAAAGTACAAGCTGAGTCTTAGACACTTGGAATTTAAAATGTTCTTCCTTGGAAATGATTTACTTTCTCTAAAGTGGTAACAGAAACAAAAATGGAGGTGCTCCCCAAAAGAAATGTAACCTTCCCCTTTCATAGCTCTTGGAGAGGTTCTGTACTGTGGGTGCATCGAAATAAAGCAGCAGTGAAGAGTTTTCTTTGTTTGTTGTTTTTGTGACCTCTGTGGCCTTTTGGGTCATACAAAAAATAGATTTGGTTAACTGAGCCTTGGGTCAAAGGGGCTGGCGTGTTCACGCTGCCATTTTGGGGAGATACATAAGAGTGGCCCAGCGTCTACTGCTGTGTAACAGGCTACTCCAAAAATGAGGGGCTTCCAACAGTTGTTTATTCACCACTCTATAGGTTGGGAAGGAACTGACAAGAATGTGTTGTCTTGGATCCTCCAGTGTCCCCAGGGCTCTCTCCAGAGGGACAGGAGAATACACTCCCAACACCAACACTTCTCACAAATGGCTGACTAGTTAAAGCCTGCCATTAGCTTAAAGGTCAGCAGGCCCCCACTGCCTCCTCACAGGCCTGCCTTCTTGGGCTTCTTCACAGGATGGCAGTAGGATTGTCAAAAGGCAGGCAGTGGAAACTGCCAGTGATTCAAGGCGTGGCCTCAGATGCCACCATCACTTCCTGGTACTCTGTTGGCTGAGTGGTCACCAAACCAGCTCAGACCTCACTGTGGAAACAGTTGGCAGATCTTGGGGTCACCATGGGCCAGGTTTGCCATCTGACTTAGCTGTGATCTACTGCTTTACCTAAAACCCTGTGGAGTTAAACACTTACTTCAAATTCAGTGAATCTGGGTGGAAGAGGGCAAAGCTCAATGCTTGATGAAGTTTATGTTTCAAAACATAACACCTAAAGATCAATGTCTTGGCAAGTTAGAAGAAAAAATACGTAACAAAGATTTAACTGACAATGTCGGTGGCATGCCTAATCCTTTGTAATGCTGTCTCCTGTCCATATATAAAGATTTACCGGGGCCGGCCACTGTTAATCTGGCTCAGTGGATTAAAGTGCCTACAAGCAGGTGCAGGGGCCAGGTATTTAATCCCTGAACCTACCATGCCAGCCCCATGCCTGGGGTGTGTTGAGACGGCAATTGAGACTCGGGCATGTTAGCGCATGCCTATAATCCCAGCACTTGGGAAGCTGTAAACAGGTGGATCTCTAGGAGTCTGATCTAGTAGCGAGACCCTGAGCACTTTGTAGACCCTTTCCTAAAATACAAAAAACAAAAAAGATTTACCAAGGGCCAGGGATATAGCTCAGCAGTTAAAGGGCCTCCCTGGCAAGCACAAGGTTCTGAGTTTGATCCCTGGTACTGGACCAGAAAAAAAAAATAAAAAAATTACCAAAGTGGAAGCATTACAAGTGATAATCCATTTTCTGTTTTCAAGATTTTTGAATTTTTATATTAAGTATTTATCCAGGGGCAGCATATATTAGATTAATTTACATTAAAGTTTTTAACTATGACTAAAATATGATATATCTAAGGGAACTTAATTTTTTTTTTCTGATTTCATTATATAATACACATTCTTGAGCAGGCTGCTTTGTTTCTTTTATGTTAGGTATGTCCTAAAAAATATTTTTCTTCTTCCCTGTTTCCCATTTCTTCAAAGTTACCTTATTTTAGCTTTTGTTTTTAGGTCTATTATTTGCTTTGGACTTTTTCCTTGTATGTATGTTGTAGAATAGAACTCTATATATACTTTTCCCACATACACTTGTCCATTTATTGTGACAGTAGTTGTTAAAAGTCTACCCAGAGAATTCTTTAGGTGCTTTTGTCAAAAAGCCAGTATAAAATTTTGGATCTAAAAGAGGGTTCTTCATGCCACTCCAGTGGTTGATTGTTGATTATTTCCCCCAAACCGAATTGTTAGGATCACCATAGCTTTATAGTAATCTTGAATCAAATTGCCTTTGTCCTTCACTTCTGTATTTCTTTTCACGAGTACTCTCAAAATCCTAGGTCCTTTGCGTTTCTACATAAAATTTAGAAGCAGCATGCTAGTAATGCTGGTGGAATTACAATTGCATTACATGGCCTCTAACTTGAGAAGAAATCGATATTTGGGTAATATTGAGGACCTGCTAGAGTTTGCGTTTGTCTCCCACAAAGCATGTGGTAGAGATGTCGTTCCAGTAGGGTTGGGCGGGGCCTGTGGGAGGTGATCAGGCCATGAGGCCTTGCTGTGGTGGTGGTGGTGGCATCTCACGCAAAGGTGAGTTTCACCCTTTCTCTTTCCTGCCCCTCCTCCATCCTCCTGTCATGGGATGATACAGCAAAGAGGCCCTCCCCAGATGTGGTGCTGGAGGTCCTTGTGGGACCATGAGGAATGTTCTTTACAAATTACCTCCTGTCTGGCAGCGTAAGACAGACTGAGACGTAGTCCATGAGCATACTGTACCTATCTTTAGCTCTTTCTGCTCTCAGTCATATTTTGTGGTTTTTTACTAGAGAGGTCTTGTGTATGTTTTGTTTAGTGTATGTATTACTAAGTTAATGGGATTGCTTTTTAATTTTATTTTTCAATTATTTGCTGTTACATAAAAATATAATTGGTTTTTAACTTATTTTTAAGCCTTTCTCAAGTTACTTTTGTAGATTTCTTGGACTTTTTATGTAAACAATCATGGTATCTATAAATAGAGTTTTGCCTCCTTATTTTTTTAATAATATTTGACTTTTTAAAAAAATTTATTTTAATTAATTTTTGTGTGTGTGTGTGTGTGGCCAGCTCAGCCCACCAGGGGGCGGGGCGGGCTGGCATGTGGTGCTGGGGGATTGAGCTGTGGTCCCTGTGCTTTGCTAAGCTTGTTTCTAAGTAGGTGCTTTAGACCACTGAGCCATCTCACCAGCCCTGCCTCCTTATTTTTGATCTCTATATGTCTATTTTTATTTTTATTTTTAAATAATGGTGAAGGTGTCAGTGTAATATTGACTGGAAGTGGTAGAAGTGGATTCTCTGCTCTATTCAAAATATTAGAAAGTGTTCAATATGGTGAGGTTTGCATGTGTGTGTGTGTGTATGTGTTTTGCACTGAGGAAGTTCTCTCTTAGTTGTTTGAGAATTTTATCATGAATATCAATTTATAATTTTTATCTACATTTAAAAAATGCTTTTTCTGCATACATTGAAATAATGTGATTTTTCTTCTTCATGATGATGAACTACATTGAATTTCTGGGTTAAGTCCTGTATAATTTGTTAGGAATTTAGATTTGAGAGAGAGAGAGAGAGAGAGAGAGAGAGAGAGAGAGAGAGAGAGAGAATGAATTACTAAGGTTCTTAAATTTCATGAACATTCTAGTGAATGTTCTTCACTAGAGAGGTCTTGTGTATGTTTTGTTTAGTGTATGTATCACTAAGTTAATGGGATTGCTTTTTCATTTTATTTTTCAATTATTTGCTGTTACATAAAAATATAATTGGTTTTTAACTTATTTTTGAGAGAGAGAGAGAGAGAGAGAGAGAGAGAGAGAGAGAGAGAGAGAGAATGAATTACTAAGGTTCTTAAATTTCTTCATGAATGTTTACCAGATTTGGAAAGTTCCTGGTTATTTCTTCAAACACAACTCCTGGCCCCCATCCTTTCTGTCCTCTTCTTTCATAACACTTTGTTTCTCTTTAGTGCTAGGGGTTGAACCTAAGACTGCACACAAGCTCTATGACTAAGCTACATCGCAGCCCTAATTATGTGTATTAATGTTTTGGTGTTGTATGATAAATCACAGAGACATTGTTCATGTTTTTTAAGTAGAGCTGGGTATGGTGGTACACACCTGTAATCCCAGTATTGTGGGAGGTTTAGGCAGGAGAATCACAAGTTTCACCTGGGCAATTTAAGAAACCCTTGCTTTGAAAAATAAATTGGGGTGGAGCTGAGCCTATCACTGGCCCTAGGATCAGTCCCCACTACCATCTTCCCCAATAGGTAAAGCTCATATAACAGAAATGACCATTTAAAATTCTGTGATTCAGTGGCATTCACAGTAGTTTGCAACCATCATTTTTCTTTAGTTCTAAAATACAGGTATCTCTCCAAAGGAAATTATGCCCTTGACACAGGAGTCCACGGTTCTCCACTTCGCTCCCAGCAACCACTAATCTGCTTTCTGTCTTGATGGATTTAATCTCTTCTCAACATTGAAGTGGAGTCATACACTATGTGACCTCCCATGTCGGCTTTTTCAAACACTTGACATGATTTTTTTGAAGTACTTTCTCTTATTATGAATCAAAACTTCCTTATACTTGTTGCTGAACAGCACTCCATTGTGTGGTAGAAGCGGATTCGTGTATTCATTCACCAGTCAGTAGGTTCATCATTTCCACCTTGTGGCGACTGTGAATAGTGCTGCCGTGAGCATTCGTTTTGTTTGAATACCTGTTTTTAATTCTCTCTGTATTGGAAAGAGTAGAGTTGCCTTTTGGCTTCCTCAGGAAGTGTCAGGCTTTTCCACAGCAGCTACACTGGATTCACATTCCTGCCTGCAGTGTATGGGGGCTCTGATTCCTTTGCATCTCTGCAAACACGATTTTATTCTTGTCATCTTTGTGGGGACAGTGTTCATTTAAAAAATATCTTTTTAGAGAAAGGTTCTTCCAGTTGGATAGCTTTCATTGTTCTGTGGTTGAGTTCACTGGCTTTTCTGCCATCTCTATTTTCTCTTAAGTCCATATCATGATTGTTTTCTTTTAGATACTGTAATATTTTTAATATGAACTCCACTTGGTTTGTTTTTAGTTTCTTTGTTTAGATCGCCAGTGTCTGCGTCCCTTAGTATGCTTTTCAGAATATCACTGACCATCATGACAATTCATAACGTTCTGTTTACAGATGTTTTCGACATCTGGGTTATCTCAGGAACTATGTCTTTTATGATAGTATTTTCCCTGCGAATTTGTCCCATTTTCCTGGTTCTGCAGATGTCGAGTAATTTGGGGTTTTGTCTTTTCTATCTTGAATGTTGCAGTATGGGAGCTGTGGGTCCTACGCAGCCCTTGGAAGAGCATTGACAATCTTGTTTTAACCATTAACTTGGAAGGACTCGGAGTGCAGACTCCTGAGCAGCAGCTCCAGTCTCGTTCACCTCTTTCACCCTTCACTGGGCTTTGTTCCAGGCATGC